CTCTCTCTCTCTCTCTCTCTCTCTCTCTCTCTCTCTCTCTCTCTCTCTCTCTCTCTCTCTCTTCGAGAAACAAAATGGGAATGCATGTTTACGCCCGCGAAAGCCCCGCGAAAGTGGGAAGATGCATTCTCGTTTCGTTTTTCGAAACGATAGCGGAAAGATGAACTCATTCGTTTTTCTTATTTCTTTGATTTTTTTTTGTTTTTTTTTTCCGTTTTCTTTGTTGTGTACCTTTTGCACGTTCGGATCGTTTTTCTTATTTCTTTGTTTTTTTTTGTTTTTTTTTGCCCGTTTTTTCCGTTGTGTATGTTTTGCACGTTCGGGATGCTTGCGCCCGGTAGTCCGAGCCTCGGTACGGATCGACGTACTGGTCGGCCGAGGCTCGGACTCGATAGTTGGGCCAGGTACTGGTGGTTTAACTTCGGCGTAGATCAGGCAAAAGTTAATTGGTTGAAGCAGCATACGGTAACAGGCAGTTTTCGAGATAGAGGAAGATTCTTACCAAGGAAGATGAAAGATGATGTTGTCCATGTGTATGAGTACCGACGAACGGGTGATGGCACTTTTATTCAAGCTTTCGAAGGGGAAGAGTCAAAATTGAAAGCTACGTTCGTATGTGGCGAAAAGTTTGGAGGTGGTGACGTGGCTTATCAACAAAGGCAACAATAACGTCACACTAGCAAGCACGTCATATGCGCTGGAGTTCAAGTCATAGCTTACCAAGGCCCAACTCGGAGCTCAATGACGCAAGGAAGATTAAACTATGTTATGGTTTATCGTTGTTCAAGTTACTTTGGGTGCGATGTTCTACTGGGAAGCTTATGTCCACAGGCCTATCGGCCCTGTACTGCTTACTCATCCGCTTGAACCAAATAATCATAAGCCATCACTAGTCAACATCATGTTTGATATAAATTGAGAGAGTAAGCCGAATATAAAAGATAAGATATGGGTTGACACCTTTGAGGGAGACTCACTGGAAGTGAAACTTGCATTGTCGGAAGCGCCTCGTTGTCGTCATTGTCAAGTTTTTTTACATTGAAACAAACTGTCAACGTAGTAACCGGCAACGAGGACAAAACTCAAGAAATGGCGGATAGCCTTCGAGGATCAATGAGGGAGAGCGGATGCAATTATCTGCTCCAAGATATTATGGTTCTCTCATACCTCACCGTGCTCCGCCTGCCTCACAAGCTCCAAGCGTCATGCATCATGAATATCAAGGAGAAATTTTAAATTTAACAACATTCATTTTAATCGTATGGCTTCTCTAACGCTTGCAGCAATGCAGGGAGGATTCCCTTCGCCAATGGGAGAACCCGCTGGAGCAAATGGAATCACATTCCAGCGTACATGTGGTAGTTTAACCCAACATGTTACCTCCAGTATTCAATTCCAACTGAAGCGTCGTTTCCTTCGTTCGGATATCAGTCGATCCAACACGAAGTGTTGGGATGAATCATTCCCACTGGAGGATTGAGAGGAAAGACAGTGCTCAAACCACCACATCCACAAGGTACAAACCATAGTCAAGCTCAATATAGTCAGCCATCTTTAACCCAAGATCGCCAAGGCGCTTCACTGGTAGTTTTTGCAACTCATCAATTGGCGTTAGTTCATTCATCCACATTAGCCGAGGACACAAGCAAACTCATAAACCTTATTAAAGGTAATAAAAAATTTTTTTTTTGACAAAGGTAATATAATTGTTAACAACGAAAAACTGAAATGAGTGATATGTCTTTTCATCTGGAACTTCTCATAAATTGTTTTTTACCATTATTACGCTTAGTAGTAAAGCCACCAAATACACAATTCTGGTAACTCTCGATCGTGGTGGATCCAATGATGTCAAAGTTTATCTCTTATTGTTGTATTTACTCGTCCTCAAAATACAGCGTGGTTCATTGTCTTCATCAATAATGATAGCCCTATTCGATCTTCCGATTTACTTATCCAGAGTATCATTATTATTTTTTTTCGCCCTTCAATTGCAAATAAATTCAGATTCAAATGTATTATTGATATGCTAATGCCAATACTAATCATTGATAACCGATTCAATCCAGGAAACAAGATTAAAATTTTCATTCCTCTTTGCAATACCAGATTTAACGATCGTCAACTATAAAAGTTGGAAAGAAAGGGTATGTTGGGAAACATAAGCGGAACCTTGTGCATATTACTGTCTCTCCACTCAAGTTTGTTGAATGCTTAGCAACGTTTGAAGCGGAACTACTCTTTGCATTCATTTAATTCAATATGTTGTCTTCACGGTTATATCACTCTCCCTCGCAGCAAG